TTTTTTGAGAAATTAGGGCAAAGAAAAATAGGAATCAACACAAATCTAGAAGAACACAAAGATTTAACGAGGTTCGACAAAGATGCCTACGTCCTCTGGAGTAGAGCGGCGACTTTCTTTCTTTCCAGAAAAGATTACTAGAAACAAAATATGGGATAATCTCTAGGGCTACAAAAAAGCATATATATAGCTCTGGAATAAACTCTGAATTACAACATGTAATTAAAAAATTACCCATGTACCGTACCGCAGGGCATTGTCCTTGCACCCCCAACCCACATAACAAAACTCACACGATTGGTCAGATTCTTCCGCTCCGCTTCATTTCAGCATCTATCCCTTCACCTTGCGAATATCCCGCCTACCATAACAAATCTCCACCTTAGCGAATATCCAGGCCCTTAGGAGAAATACATTATGGAGTTTCTTACACATTGAAGTGGGTTGGGCTACCATGCTTTTCTAGCAACTGCAAACATTAAACAAGTCCAAGCAATGCAAGAACTTGTTGATAGTAACTGTCTTGGTCAACATATCAGCTGCATTTTCATTAGTATGAACCTTCTACAACAGTTTCTCACTAGAAGCAATCAATTCTCTGATCTTGTGATACTTGACATCAATATTTTTGGCTCTTGCGTGGTACACCTGGTTCTTAGCCAAATAAATAACACTCTGACTGTCACACTGCAATCGAACTCCACCTTGCTCAACGTCCATCTTCTTTACTAGCCCAACAAGCCATAAGGCTTCTTTCGCAGCTTCAACTACTGCCATGTACTCAAATGTACTCAACTACTGTCATGTACTCAACTTCAGTTGTAGATAATGTCATAATAGACTGAATTGTTGATTTCCAATATATAGGTCCTCCACCAAGAGTAAACACATACTATTTATAGACATTCTTTCATCCAAATCACATGCATAGTCTGAATCAACATACCCCACAACTGAAGGATTATCACTGTTGATGAGAAATGCACAAGAGACCAAGTCTTCATAACCCAATATGCTATGAGGCCTTATATTGAGGCATCTTTGTCTGTCTTTGGCTAGATTATAATTCTGCAGATTATCTGGAATGGATTTACCAGGTGTTGGATTTAAACCTTCAACTCTCTCAGTTGTTTCTAGATGTTGTTCTAAATCCATCTACACTGCATCTGAACTGGAACTGTTCTCTGGCACCTTGCCTTGATTCTAGCTGCAACATGAACTGTTCATCAAAGACAACATCTCTACTGATCACCATCTTCTTTGAAATCGGATCCCAAAACTTGTATCCTTTCACACCTTTCTTGTAGCTCAAAAAAAATGCACTTTTTGGATTTTGCATCTTGTTTTGATCTCTCATCTCCAGGTACATGCATGTAAGCAGGACAACAAAAAATTCATAAATAATCAAAATTAATTGGATTAGCTGTCCATACCTCTTCTGCAACCTTGAAAACTAATGATGACCGAGGTGATCTATTAATGAGATAACATGACATATTCACAACCTCTGCTCAAAAACTTTTAGGGAGCCCAATGACAATTCCCTGGTAGAGCCCCCTACATCAGGCCCCATACATCAGAATGCACATAATCAAGAATCTCTTCAGTTTTGTGCTTTCCAGTAATAAAATTGACTCTAGTCTAGTTTCAAAGTACACTGAACTAATAAGATCGAGCTTGCAGCTTTTAACACCATGCAATAGTTTTTTTTCTATGTAATTCCACCACCTCACGTTCAGTAAGATGACCCAGACGCATATGTCATAGCTTTGTATTATCATCATCTGACTCCACGGAGTGAACTCTACCTACAACTGTACTCCCCAATAGTTTGTATATATTACCTGCACTTAACTTTCCTTTGATCACAATCAATGCACCCTTAACAATTCTGATGATTTCCCTATCCTCATCTACATTAGGAATAAAATCATTTCTATTTAAAGTGCTCATGAAAATCAAATTCTTCTTCAGATCTGTAAAATGTATGATATCACATAATGTTATAACAGTGTCATCATAATTCTGCAGATCATCTAAAAATCAATTTCTTCCATACATCCCCTGGAAATTTTAGATTTATCACGTGATACATAACCTCATCTGCCTGACATAAGCGTATGGTTGCTACCGGTCGTTGTTGCAATTCGTCCCAATTTTCATCCTCCATGACATCTGGTTTCGTTGCCCGCAAAGCCTTCAAGATTCCCTGTTGTGCCAATAAATCTTTCACCCTTATTTGCTACAACCCAAAGTTACCAGTTTCATTGAACTTCACCACCTCGAATTTTGCACTAGAAAATGTCATTTGAAATTGATCATCTAACAAATTCTTTTGTAAATTCCTCTACTAAATTTCAAAGATTGCTGAAGCTAGAAATTACTATTTCTCAATTAAGTTCGTTCAAAACATAATCTTTTCAAAAAAAAGGATTGAAATATTCCCTTAAATAAATTTCTTTAATTAAGTTTCACTTAATTAATTATTTCCCTTCATTAAGTTTTACAGAAAAAGCAATTTCAGGAACTTCCAATTCCTCCTCCAATCCATGGGCGTACAAAAGAGGAAGAAAAGTTTCCCTTTCCAATTACTCCTTCGCACACAGAAGGAAATATTCCTCCTTTAGAAACCTCCGCCGAGCTTTCTCCTCTGCGTGCACAGAAGGAAATTTCCTTTTTTGCCTGCACCAATTTTCCTGATTAAAATTTCCTTCCAATTCTGCTCTCGCTTGCCTCTTGTGTCAAACAACTCCGCCTGATTGCCTCCTGAACACTTCTGCTGTGAAATCCTGTATTCGAAGCCTTTTCTCCTGTCTGCAAACTCCTGCATCCGAAGCCTTTCCATCACCACTCGCAGTCTTGCTTACGCCGGAAGTCGTGATTTGCCTGTTATTCCTCGCCGAACTTCGCCGAAACCAAACTCGCTGAAATTCGCCGTCGAACTATTCGCCGAATTGGACATCCTAGCCGCCAAACTCTTTTGCCAAATCTTCCTCTTCCCTGCGTTGATGTTTTTCTTCCCTGCCCCAGAACCTGTTTGTGATACCACTTATTGAGAAATTAGGGCGAAGAAAAATAGTAATCGACATAAATCCAGAAGAACACACAAATATTTAACGAAGTTCGGCAAAGATGCCTACGTCCTCGGGAGCAGAGTGACGACTTTCTTTCTATTCCATAGAAGAGTACAAAATACATAATATGGGATACTCTCTAGGGTTACAAACGAGCATATATATAGCCCTGGAGTAAACCCTTGTGACGACTTTCTTTCTATTCCATAGAAGAGTACAAGATACATAATATGGGATACTCTCTAAGGTTACAAACGAGCATATATATAGCCCTGAAGTAAACCCTGAATTACAATATGTAATTATAAAATTATCTTTGTACCATACCGCGGGGCGGCGTTGCCCTCCCATCCCCACCCTACATAACGAAACTCCCCCGATTGGATAGATTCTCCCGCTTCACTCCGCATCGTTTCAGCATTTATCCCTTATATGGTATATGAGCCATACCATAACAGGTTTGTTATGGATAAACTCTCATAATTTTCTTTTTGGATGTTGTTTTATCTTTTAAAAATTCTAACTCTTAAGCCACATAGGAGGACAAAATTAGAACTCCAATTTATATATAAACTAAACTACATATTGGAATGTATTGTCTTTCAATATAATTAAGGGTCTGTTTGGGGCAGCTGTAGCTTATTCAACTTATCCTAATGATCTGGTGATAAGCAGCTGATCCGGATAAGCTGTCTGCCTGTTTGATTTGTGAGTTTGGAAAATAGCAGATTATGGATAAATGACCATTCTGGCCATATTCTAGATAATCTATTTAATTTCATTTAATTTAATATAATTTATATTATTTCTGAATAAATTTACTATTTATCTAATCATTAAATGGTAGTCAATTAAATTTATTATAATTAATTTATATAATATTAAATTAAGAGCAGCTTAAATTTAAAAATATTCACATTAATTTCTATCTAGTAAAGAAATTTTAATTAAGTAATTTTATTTGATATATTTGAAAAACTTTTATTTGATATATTTGAAAAAAACTTCTTTGTTTTTTTCTTTTGTTGTAAAATGAAAAGAATTGAGTTATATGTATGTAAATCCCTGCTCCAACCCGAAATCTCCCATTCTTTACCTGACATGCGCGGAGGAGAAGAAGAAGAGGGGAGGAGGCATACCTGGGCGAAGCGTCGCCGGAGAGAGGAGTTCGCCGGAGAAAGTTTGCCGGAGGAAGGGGAAGTTGGCAGAGATGGGAGGAAGGCAGACACGAAGATGTGTTTTGATCACGAGGGTTTTCTGCTGAAGGAGGCGTACTTACCAAGCAGGTCTAATTGCGATTGTATCGGTGGTCTCTGTAAAAGTCGATAACGAAGAGGAAGCTTCGGCCTGCGACGAGCGAGACTTCGGCTTGCGATGAGGAGGGATGCTTCAGCGAGGGATGCTCCGACCTGTGACAAGGAGGGACTCTTCTCTCTCGACGGGATGAGGGCAAACCCGTATAAATGTTTCCCGAAACACCGATCACGGGGCTCGACCCGCGGCCTGCGTTTAATGTAAAATAAAAACTCCGTTCTTCTATAAGTTGTCTGAAAGCTGCATTCAAATGATGAGGCGATGTTTTCAAAACGCCGCCGCAGCTGATAAACTGTCCTAAACGCACCCACCCTAAATCGAAAAGACAAACAAAATTAAATCATTCGAGAAATAAGTTAGTTATATTATATTAGTGAATAGCTAAAATTTTAATCCTATTCTAATACAAGGCACATTAAAATATGCACTTAGAATATTTTTAAATTATTTTATGTAATATATATATACTAAAATATTTTTTCTTCGAAAAACACTCATGAGTTTTGTAAACGGTTACCAACGGCACCGGTCCTTCATCTCAAAACAACTGCAAGAAAATTCCGAAGATCAAAAGTACCCAAATACGAACTACCAGAATCCTCGGGTAAAGATAATCCTATTTCTAAGCTCTTCTTTTCAGCACGGAATTGATGGATCTTTCCTCCTCGTTGCTTCCTTTAACCCTTCTTATTTTTCTCAGAAGAAGCTTGTGCCGAAACATGAAATTATAACCTAAAAATATTGTCACCATTCTGAGACATTCAGGACTCCTAAAGTCTCCAGCGAATACGATGCCCCTTTCCACCTGCTTTCCTCCTGCTTTCTCAGCAGCTTCCCCTTTACCGAGAGTGAATGCCGTTTAACTTTCCGTTTTCTTCTCTCTTAAAATCGTCTTCTCTTCAGTGTCCTGTAATGCCGTATGTTCGTGGATTGTGACTGACATTCTGAAGACCCGTTCTGGGATCGCAGTTGCACATATTCTAGATTCTATCGTTTAAAAGGGAGCACCATGTCATGGCTTTCTCTGCGTTTATTCAGAGGCTTTTCATACTGTTGTGCTGCTCACGCTGGATGAAGTTTCCACGCGATTTCATCGAAATCTCTTGTTTCGTTGCTTTAATATACGCGGTTTGGATGGCCTGTTGAGATTTGTATCGCGTACAGAGTGATATAGAGGGTTTTGGAACTGTATTGTTGCTGGGCTAGAGTTGTTTGTGATGGTTCTCAAAAGGTTTGTAGGGCAAGAAAAGTGTGACGAGTCTTCTGCTCCAGAAGTAAAGCGACCTCGCCTCCTGATTGCGTGAGTCTGTGGATTATTATGTTTTTGAGATTTTGCGGCTCTTCTATGTTTGTTTTTAGAGGGTTGTGATCTGTCAGGACAATGAGAGACGTCATGGGAGCACAGTGTATGCAGACCCACTTGTCAAAGCTTGAACCATTTCTCCGTCGCGTGGTACTATATTTCTCGAGATTAGTTTCTTAGCACCTATATTTTAGCAATGAAGAACCATACCGACTGTAATCGGTCCATTTTAGAGTTTGGCTAGTCAAATTCAAGCTCTTTTTGTAGTTTTGCTTTATACCTACCAATTTCTTTTAATGTTGCGTGATTTTGATGTCTAAGCTGATGCATTTTCTCTGTAAAATGACTCTATGGGGCTATTTGGTATCTTATTTTTTGGTAGGATTTAAGTAAGATTTAGGTTGAATTCTGTCAAATAATAAATCATTTTTCAATCCTATTATTAATAAAATTCAGCATTTTTTAAATCCCACCATTCATTGGATTTAATGGATTAAAGAATTTCAACCTCTCACTAAGGTTAAATACAAAAACAATTAGCCAAATAGTTTATTAAGTATTAGTTTTGTACTAACAATTTTCTAGTTAATCACTGTTTATGTTATACTTTACTGTTATATGTTGTAATAGCCACCCATTATAGGGTATTGGTATCTGCCCTTTTTTCTTTCTTTTAAACATTATGCTGACTGTTGAGGACACCGATGCTTTAGAGGTAATAAGGGAAATGAGAGATTTATGCTCCTTAACTTGAGTATTACTATTAGATCCCTTTTGTTTTCGAACTTTCTTAATGATTATTATAAATGCACAATTCAAGTGTTCCTTGCAATTGTTCTCAAGTCTTATAGTGTTCAGGTAATCACCAAAATTATTTCGGTAATATAAAACATATAAATAGATGTCATTCTAAATGCTTCATCATGTATAAATTTCAAGGGTGTAATTACTACTTCAAATTCTCTTAATCACATGTCACGACCCGAAATAGAAATTTTCTTTCAGTATAAACATGGTACTTCATGTTTGCCTCTTCTTATATATTTAGTTTTATATTCTAGCCTAAATAGATTGAAACCATGAAAAAATCAATACTGCATTAATCATAAGGAAAAAAAAAACATGCAAAATTATATATGTATCTTAGTCAGGCTCAACATAAATGCATGAAGCGGAAGTTTCTACTCCATGTTGCCTAGTTGAATTGGATGAGCTAGCTTGACATAGTTGTGGTGGCGGTGATGGTGCACGGCGGTGGCTATGTTCAACATAATATGTTTTGGAATAAAACTCAACATATATTGGCTGATAGAGAAAATTGAGTGATGTTTGTAGAATCTGGTAAATAATAGGTTGATGGAAGTGTTGATGAGTAGCACATGGGGGTGAGGGTGATAGTGTTACTCATCTCAAAGCGAGTGAGATGATAAACAATCTTCTTCCCTCATAGAAATATTTGTATAATAATCATTAATAAACAATCTGTTTTTGTGAGCATAAACCTTATCCATACATTATTTTTACATGTATAAGTCCTTTGGAAATAAGTTTTCTTTTGGGTTAATCTCTTTTAGCAACCTTACAAACATTTTGAAATATTTTTATAGCATATTATATTCTATTTTGATGTTGAGTATTCTCACAACAATAGAAGTTCGAAGTGGTTCATATAACCATCCTACAAAGGTTGTTGTGCTAAACTCAATAGTTCATTAAACCTTTGAATTTCTATGTTAGGAGGCTTCTCCGTTGATTTTTACTCTAAAACCTTGTTGCATCTAACGTCATTCTTTTATATCTTCCGTATATATATTCATTTGAAAGAGTAAAGGTTGTTGAAGCACTAGGTTGAGAATAAATATGTAGCTCACACCATCATGTGAAGTCTAAAATTAATGATTGTGTTGAGAAATATTAAGTATGTTCGTTTCTTATGTCTAGTACGTAGATATCAAATAAGCTCTCTGAAAGATAAATAGGAAGTTGAGATGCCACATATATGAAGACCAAAGAATTTATTAGTTAATCGTTTTACACATAGATGCAATCTATTGTATATCTATAATCTTTCATTGCAGAAGTCCATGCGATGTACAAAATGAACAAAATTCGATAAGAGTTTAACCTTTGATTCTAACTTACGCACGAGTACATTGAATTATGAAAATAGATCAATTTAAACTTCCTAAAAACTATGTGCTATGAGTTTAAGCTATTGCTTGAACACTTACGTGAAAAGAAGTTGATCAATAGTAGGAAGAATGATGCATGCTATTACAAAAATGACTGTCACAACCATTAAATTTTAACTATCTATATATTTAGTGATATATTAGTAAAAAATCTTTACCATCTAATTTTATTGGTGAATATAAAAACTGAATTCTTGTGGAAATTAAAATTATATGTTTTTAATGAAGATCAAATTTAACAACTGATAGTTAAAATTACACCAAGAGAATAATCAAACAACTGTAAATCTAACCTACAAACTAATGCATTTTTCTTCCAAATTCAAATATAGATTTGGGCGATGGATCTTCAGTTTATTCATAGAAATCATGGAAGCAATTGTAAATACTACCAAAAACTTCAAACCAATTAAATATAGAATTTACTAGATGAAATCTCAAATTGAAATTTTGAATGGGTAGAGGAGGTTTACTTCCAATTTTGCGGAGTAATTGGAAGAAATTTTACATTTAAATGAGTTTTGGAGGAGCTTGGTCAAAGGAATCTAGTGTTGGCTAAGAGGGTAGCAAAAGAAGAAAAACAGGGAAAAATGGGAGTTTTGGGCATCGGTCCAAATAAAATTCAAAATCGAAGAAAGTTTAAGTGAAAAATCCGTCAAAAGCTTTTTTTTGATGAAATACATGCAAAAAAATTCATCATGTATTTATAATAAATAAATAGGCGAGTTTTGGCTAGAAAGTTTCCCATAAATAAGTGACGACTACTTCGGACGCAGAAGTTACTAGTAATTTTTGATCGATTAACTTGATTTCGACTATTTTTTTAGGGGTTCTTTGTTTCTTGAGAAATGAATGCAATGTAAAAGGAATATATTTTAATTGAAATGTAATGTATTAGAAATATTTACATATTATGTGGTTTGATATAAAGTAAATACAAAATTTTAAATTTTTGTATTTAGTTTGAAGAAAAATGGAATCAATGTAAAATTTACTCGGCGATAGCGACGACAATGATAGTTGGCTGTGACACATAGAGTGGGCGCCACATGGGTGGCAACGACTTGCAATTGGCATCGGCGATGACATGAAGTTGGTGGTGGGTGGCCGATCGATAGTGATCTACGAGCGGTGGTGATGGGTAGTTGACGAAGGCTATAATAGGCATGAATTTGTGGCTGTGGGTGGACAACATCAAGCGGTCGGGCAGCCAGTGGCAGTAGCGACGGGAAGCAGGCGACAGTGGGTGATTGTGGAAGCAACAACAATCTTTAGTTTGTAATGCATTTAAAGATTGTCCAAATCCATCTCATTCAAAATTCACGAGTTTTGAAAAGCAAGGTGAAGTTCAAACTCACCAAAAGTTTACACCGCATTCCATTTTCACCAATCAAACATCTTAATTTTGAACTCCTGTATTTATTTGGCTTTACACCACTAATGCAAACAACCAAACAACCCCTTTGTGAATTTATTGCTATTAGTGATTACAATGGAAATATATAATATTACAACTAAAAATATATCGTTCAGATGGAATTTAAAAATGAGAATTAGAAGAAAGTAGAGCTTTTGTCTCCAAACAATTTTCCCAAACAAGATTTGCTTCTTCTACCGATGCTTAAGGATATCATAAGCATCTATCTTCTTGTGTAACAACATTTCCCCAGACTTGCGCGCCATAAGAAATACTCCGACAAGCTCAAATCAGTTTTAACTCTGTAACTTGAACACCTACAACTATGGAAAAAAATTGAGCCTGAGAAGCATAAAAATGAAAAAGTGAATTTCTTCTTTTTTATCCTTAGAAATGCTAGAGAAAACCTTTCAATTTAGTCACATAGGTTACATCCTTTCATATTCCACAGAGTTTAATCCCATAGCATACAACCTTCCAAATTCCATGGGTTATAAATTTGAACATCAATTTTTCATGCACCCATAAGTTACTTTTTTTTCGAACACAGTTTGCCCATTTTAATCTATGGTAATTTGTTTGTCGACTTTCACATGTGAAATTCTTCCTTGTAACCTTTGATGTATTTATTTTATTTTATTATTTTTCTCTTAGTAATGCATCTTAGAAAATATTTTCTTGTGTTCACCAGGAATTACACTATCAATGTTGCCAGATTGCTTCAATTTTATTCCAAAAATACCCCCCTTAAATTAAACTCCTTAAGACTGTAGAAGTGATAAATTATAAACTTAGTTATTTCACAATTGTTAATTGAATATTAGTTTTGAATCATATGCTAGACCTTTTTTTCTTTAATTGACGAGTGGTTTGTATTATTTGTATTCTTCTTTAAAACCACCTATATTTTTATATGTTGTGCACTCTATTCATGAATTGAGGAATTGAGGTTATTGGCCATTTATATTAGCATAGTCCATTCAGACGATAGGCTACTTCAAGACTCAGTCTGATGTATTGTTATACAAGAGTGATTCATTTCATCATTAGCATCATTTTTTGCCCTCATCCTAATCATTTGCATCTTTCTGTAACATCAACCCCAGTTGAGCTAACTTACCAAGCATGCATAAAATTGTATAATCTAGATATAAGGTCATGCATGCATCTTTTAATTATATGTTCGATAATGCTATGCCCATTCTGCTTTCTTTGTTTGATATTTTGTCACAAAGAATCACATTGTGAACAATATAGTATGTATAAATTATCTGTGCTAGCTTTAACTTATGCCTAGATGTTGCATCTATCAAGACGTTTCACAAAGCTGTATTTATGGATCAAATAATTTTTGGGTAGATAATCCCAGTTTCTGTGGCATGATCTTGCCCCCAAACTGAGTGACTGACTTGATACTGTGCTTTATGTATCTTCCATTTTAATGATATACCCTTGACATTGGTTTTCTCGAATATGCATTTTCTTTGAAATTGTTTATGAATTTTTGAAGATATTGCTAGTTGCTGTGAATAATTATCCTA